GCCCACTTCATGATTTTTGATGAGAACAGGTCTTGGTACTTAGAAGAAAACATCAATACCTATTCTTCAGAGCCGAATAACATAAATAGGAAAGATGATGATTTCGTCTTCTGTTGCGGCCTGATTGCAGAACAGGGGATGGACACAGAAAGAAACACACAGACACACACAAGACGTACAAGACTGCAGTGGTCAATTCCACCAGTCGTTTTATTTATACACTTTTTCTATGTCCGGCAGCTACTTCCTGGTACGTGACTACCTTGGGCACCTTGAGGAAAACACATTTTCATTCCTTCCAGACGATTGCTCAATGGAAGCAGATGTTTGCATCTTAACTTCTTTATCTCATTACCGTATGCAGGACAATGAGTCGCCTTGGCTTGTTTGCAAGACCCCAGGCGCTTGGTTAGCTGTCATAAAGCTGTCCGTCATAAGGAATAGTTCTGTTTGTCCAATAGGCCGTGTCTGGACCTATTGTCCTCTGGCCCCAAGGAAAGCACATCCAGTTTCGCTGACTCTGGGCTTAAGCCAATTTTTGCCCAGGGACGGTCCCTACAGTCTTCAGCAACCTAATGCACGGTAATGTCCACTAACCAACTCATAAAATGTAGCCCACAAGTCGTTCCACACAAACAGAATAAATCAAGCTTCATATTTGCCAAGCTCGGCAAAGTTTATACCATGATCACACAGAGCGTAGTGTAGATCACGTAGACTAGGGGTTGGTAATTTTTTTTTTGTAAAGGGCCAGATAGTAAAGAATTTAGGCTTGCGGGCTTGTGCGATCTCTGTCATAAGCCATACTCCTCTCTGCCACGGTAAAGCAAAAGCAGTCACAGACAATAGCAAAGCACATGGAAGGGGCTGAGAGCCAATACAACTTCATTTATGGACACTGAAATTTATATTTCACATGTCAATAAATAATATTCTGTAAAATTTTTTCCCCAATTATTTAAAAATTTTAAAGTAATTCTTAGCCCATGAGCCATAGAAAAATAGGCAGTGAGCTGGATCCTGCCATAGGCCATAGGCCACTGACTATGCAGCATAGCAAATTTTCATGCTTTCTAGAGCCACGTGGGCAATGTAAAACCAGGAACATCAGCCATCATTTCTGGATGGCCTTACTGCACAATTTTCTAAGGATTTACCCAAATGAACACAGGGAGAGCTGGAGCTTGAGGCAAACCAGAGAGAACATGGCCCCACCCACCTTCCCCATCACATTACCTGCACAGGCAGAACTTCTGAAACTCCATGCTCATCATCCAAAATTCTTTTATAGGTTGATTGTGACTAGGCACATCAGATGACCTCCCCCCATTTAAAATCACAGTCAAAAGATAAATTATTCAAAGAAAAAGGCACGTAAACAATCTCACTTAATCACCT